TCAGCAGGAGTGTGGTTCTTGGAGGTGTGTTGGGCGTGTGAGGCTGCAAGGTGGACAAGGCGGGGTCTTGGTAGTGTCAGTGCTTTCCCATGCACTTTCAAGGAGTGCTCTTTCAGCTGGCTGATTGTCATGGTGGAAAATGAGCAGGAGGAACATTTGTAGGCATGTTCACCTGGGTGAGCGAAATACAGGCACGTCATCAGCTCACAGAAGAAACAAAGGGGTCCCCTATCCTTCTCCTACAGAATTTGGTGGTAAAACTCCCATTTTCTCCATTAGTAAAAGACTGTTCCCAAAGAGAACAAGCTATTTAGCTTTCCTGCTGGAATATTGGAGTCTGTGGATCTTAACACCTACATGTGACAATGGCATCATCTTTTAGTAACCCTGGCTGCTTGTCATGTGATTGAGGCCAAACAAGAGAAGCTAGACTCTAAGCAGCACTCCTGTGCATCATAATTTTATTTCATGGTATTGGAAGCAAATTGAATCTTCAGCGAAAATGGAATCATTTGAATCCAGAAGAGAACTGAAGGATGTTGGTGGCACATTTCCGTTTTCTTGGAAGAACGGTAACAGGGAAGAGCTCAGTTCCTCTGTATGTCTACATGTGGAAAGCCCAAACACATTCCAGAAGCAGCATGAAAGAAATGACAAAACCCTAGCCAAAGTCCTTCAGAATTTTCAAGAATGCTGCAATATATCCAATGTGAGAAAGGTACATATTTTCCTTATGTGAGCAATGGTGTTGCCTGGCAGCTGAGACCATTATTACGATTACTGAGGCCAAAGCAAGTTTAACAAGAAATGGATATGACCATGTTAGGGACTGTGGGTAGATGTAAAGCTAAAGTAAAAGTCTATGGAAGTGAATGAATAGAAGCAAATGTCATTCTAAGTATGTTCCAAGCCGCAAAGAGAGAATCAAGGGTAAACAAATGGCAGAGACCAGATTTGTTTGCAGTAAGCATGAAGGCAATTGGAACACAAAATGGTGTGATGTTATGCATGCAATAAAAGCAATCAATTTTTTCAAACTCTGCTTTCACGTATAAGAGAACAAAGCACCCAACTGAGTAAGCATGGGTTTCACACAATCTGCCAAAACAATGCAAGAGTAAAATATTTATGAATGTTAATTGGAAAACAATTCCTCTAATAATGAAGATACAGGGGGAAAAATTGGTTGGTTTCTCAAATACAGACAACAGGGTTCTGGAACAGATTGGTTTGTGACACTGGAAATGAACAAAGAGAGAATTTCAAGGTCTGTACTACAGCTGAAAGCAATGTAATCACGACAAGCACATACAAAAAGATTTGCAGCCATCCTCTCCTAAAATGAAAACCTAAACTTCTTTAATGTAACAGACACAAAATGTGACCACCTGGCAGACCCACACCAATGTGTCTGGAAAAAGAACAGACCGCACAGCACAGTCTGAAGTTGTGGAACAAGAGGTCCCATGCGCTCTTGTGTCAAATGGCATTCTGCAAATGCGTATTATCAAACAGGTATATCACTTGTTTACAGAGAGGATATAAATGATTTTCTTACAGGATATGATGAGTTGCTTAATAGAACAGGATGCATTAGATAAAATACATGCCACTGATGTAGACACTGGTAAGATAAAGAGATAAAGCTTCACAATATGGTAAAATTTGATGTTTCTGAATAAAGACAGGCAGCAATTGACTGTTAACATTAAAGCAACCATTCTAAACTCACACAAGTAAAGTACTGTTACAGATCAAGAAGATTTAAATATGGCTTTCAAACCCTATCACAGCAACTGAAATGAGCATCAACAAGCAAACTTTCAATTCTGGATGCAAGGAAATAGTTTTAATAAATCTTACCAAGTAGAAGAGCGTTTAACTTTTTCAACTCGCTATTTTGTATATTATAAATATTTAACTGATTTCCCCTGGGGTCTGCCTGAGCATCAGAGATGTATGAAGAAATCTTGTCCCAAAATCTACAAAGGTACTGATTCAGGGTAAAAACAACTGACAACACACTGGAAGGCACTGCCACAATCCAAAGAAGAAATGTATTGAATGGGAGTATGGATACCAGATCAGGTAAACAGAGCTAACTTATGTAGAGAACATACTCCACCAGAAAAAGGAATTTGAACAGATCCAAAAAGATGAGGGAGGCAATTGCACTGGAAGACAACCCTGGAATAAGAAGATTTCACAGAAAATGCATGAACATGCTATGCAGTTTCATCCCTAAATTTGCATAAAAATAGCACTGACAAGATTAGTAGGCGAAAAGCTTTTAGAATTACCGAGATCTCAGTAGGTTCAAACTAACATGGTTTAGGCATAGTCTTTCTGCAAGGTAATATATATTTCCAGAGGACCGACTAAAACACAACAGAGCAAACACCAGACAAAAATGCTCAAGCAATTATTTCTGTTTCATAAATGTTTGTTGGGAAGAAATGAGTTGAGGCAAAAACAGACCATGAACTTTTAAAAACCCTAATACAGAAGCCATTGTGCAAAGCATCACCTAATCTCCAAAACATGACTATGCAATTGCAGAAATACTTGTATAATGTGAGATACAAGCCATGTAAACATATTGTGATAGCAGACCTGTTCAAGAACACCTATATACCAGGGGGAGGGGCAGACCCAAAAATCAAAGCTCTACGGAAAAAAGAAATTTGCAGTATAAATATGGCTTGCATACATATTTTGACATAAAAATCTGACAAGCTCAGAAAAGACATACAAAATGACCCAAATACATAGCAGCCTGAGAAACAATTCTTAATGGAAGGCCAACAAAAAGATCTCTGGCACGTCTAAAAACCTAAAATGTTCAAGTATAGAAGCAAAACAGATGCATACAATGGGTTTCTGTAGAAAGTAGACCATGTCATAGCCCAGCTACATACAAATGAGGTCAGAAATGTTAAGCTAATCCAAAGTGCCCATCCAAGTATTGAGAAGTGTTAGAACAGAGTCTGGCATGAATGCTGTTGTTGAAGATAAGGCATCCAAGTGTGAAATCTGCAATCAATATAGGAAACAGAATACGAAGGAAATGTCTGGTTGCCCTTGGTCCAAGGTTAGTTTTGATCTATTGGAATTAAACAGGAAAGATTCAATTTCTTATTGGTGGACTACAACTGATACCCCCCTTTCCCCCGCACCTCTGAGCCCCAGCATAAAACAGGCCATTGTAGAAGCATCTGTTCTAAGAACAAGAAATGATCATGTGATCAAAGAGCCACTGAGTTCAGAGAGGTTAGTTTTTACCATATATATGGCACCCTATCCCCCTCTATTCTACAAGTCTTTATTTGTGGGTTTTAACATAAATTGGATTAGCTTAAGACGGTTAGTTTTGGTTAATATGCATTTGACCATTTAAAAAGAAAAAAAAAGATGCAACAATCACCAATGGCTACTGATCCCAAGTAAAGGATACATTTTAGAACCTGGAACCATGCAATACAACTGAAATTAGAAAGTCATGATCACATCCGGATCAGGAAATCTTCCATCTCAGTCCTTTATAAAAGTTCCATGCAATATTTTGCCTTGATCATTTTTCTCATTGTCCCTTTTTCAATTCCCAACCACCATAAATACCTATTTGTCCATAACTCTGTATTGCATGGCAGTCTATAAAACATTCTTCCACTTCAGTCAATGGAGTTATTCCAGTTTAAGCCAGCTGCAGATCTGGCTCCAAAACTTTAGTGCTAAATTTGAATCTTAAAGCCAACATTAAGACAGTACAGCTTGAAACCAAAATGTGATCCTCAATCATTTTCTCAAGTCATTTACAGAGTAAACTAAGTGAAAACAAACTTCTCAGTACCAAGCTGTCTTGCTAGTGTCTCTAGAAGCTGAATGACTGAATCCTTTTTCAGAAGCATATGGAATTTCCCAAACTGTTTGGTAATGACCTGAATTCTGCTTCTCTTGAAATCAGTGGTAAGATTTCCATTGATTACAATGAGAGCAGAGCTGTAGCAATGATAAACTACCTTTGAAAATCCTACCCAAAGTTGATAAAATGTTTAACTCAAATGAACAGCACTGACCAACAAGAAAAAAGTCAAAGGGTTGTTATGCCTGCTGCACTGTAAAACAGAGAAACTTACCAGCATGAGCTTTGAGTATATGAGTTTTCAGGCGGCTATTATAAGAGGACTTGAATGGGCAGAGTTTGCAACGGAATGGTTTATGGTGTCCATGGTGAGTCTGCATATGGCGATCCAAACTTGGCAAGGAAAAGGCAAAAAAAAAAAAAAAAAAGGAAACAAAATATTAGAGAATTTCAGCTACTAGTTCAGGTACAAATGTGAAAAAATATATATATTGGGGACAGTATCTACTGCTCTTCATGTTGGGCAATGTTTTAACCACCTGGAATTACTTGCACAGTGAAGTAATATCCAGTATGAAGAATGATTACAGAATAGTCACCAAAACTATTATACAGAATGTTAGCCACTTTAAAAGAGGCTAATGGGACAAAAATCTAGTTTTAGCTTCTTTACTCAGGGTCCAAACTAACAAGATGAGAGTTCAGGAACAAATGTGGTTGGGGAATAAAAGACAAAATGAAAAACAAAGGATTTTTTTGTGAGAAGTATAGCCCCCTTCTTCCTTCCAGTCAAAAAAGGGTTTTGTTTGTTTTCTTGACCACCTCTAAGGAGAAGCTTTCTTTTAGTAATGGGAATAAAAACAATTAGAGAGTCTCTTCTGGGGACAATGCCAGCAGACTATACAAGAACCAATCAATGAGTTTCAGAATAAAAAAAAGAAAGAAAAAAAGAAAGAAAGAAAAATGATGGTACAACATACAAGTTGGAGGCCTGTGCAGGGAGCTCAACAAGTAAGTGGGCAGAACTTCAATCCCCATAAGTTGGCAGTCTCAGGAGAGCAGGCACCAACTTTAGGTTGAGCTACAAACATCTCTTGTACAACTCCTTCTAGCATGCCAGCACTTTGGAATCCAGTTCTACTCTGAGTCTGAATATGGAGATGTGCATAGCAGTGTAACAAAAGGAAAAAATTAGCTTTTTAAAAAACATGCATACACTTGGCTCTTGGTTCCAATTATTTTATGCAAGCTTGCTTCCCCATTACTACTGAATATCAGCTTCCAGTTCAAGTGGAGTCCACTACAGTCTTTACATAAAACAAAAAAGTTCATGCTGCTGTGAGTTCTAAACTACCAGAAAATGTCCGTCCATCAGCGGAAAAAAAAGCTGCACTCTCAGTATATATTCAAATGCCCAATGATAGCAACACTACAAAATGTCCTGTCTGTCTTTTTCAGGACCACTTCACAGGAAAATCATTTTAGTATAAATCCAATAAGGAATCTAAGATGGAATATAACTATTGCTCGTCTAGTGAAATGAACAAATCTGCTAAAATTAATTTTAAAAATGCTGATCATCAGATTGGATCAATATTCCACACAACAAAACTCCATGTTAAAAGCCAATAGTGAATTAATTTGCTTACAAATTAAACTATCCTGCCAATCCAAAGCTGTATAATATAGAAGTTCTGTTCTCCTAACGGTAGGAGTTCTACACAGGCGCATGTACAAGTATACCTTTTAAGCCACACATCCTGCCAATCAGTCAGATTCTTTGAAGCTAAGTTTGGGGTTTTCTTAGGGTTACTCTGGTTATGAAAAAGAAGAAGATTGTGTGGCAATCTCTGATGCAGTGTCTTTCTAAATTGGCCAACTATTGCAGCCAAAGTGTTTATAGCTCTCTCCCTTCATCCACACTATCGGTTCCACCATCTTTTATACCCATAGAACCAACGTAACAACTGAAAAGAAAGTGTGCGCCTTAGAGCCAGAGTGGTTTTGCGGGCAAAATATTTTTGCATGGGGGCAGAAGTTCTTGTTACACTCTAAAGGTGGTGTCCACATGGTCCTGCCAGTCAAAGGTGGGAAAGTCCTTGAAACTAACCCGTTGCTTCCTCTCCTCCAAACCACACTTATTGATGGCTGCTCAAATCCTTGCAACTCTCAGAGCCTCCCACCATATTAAGCCTATAGCCTGCGTGGATGCACTTGTCGTGCCAGTGGAAGCTTTGCCTTTCTGGCATGCATTATTTGAATGCACTCATATACAGCCTTTCTTCTTGTACATGGGATTTCAACACAGAGCAGTCAAAACTTAAACCTGATTGGTCCCACTGAAGGCAGGACACACCACAGATCTCCCTTTCTCTTTTAAAGGTCGTGAGTAGGTAGGGAGGTAGTTCTCTTCCAGGCAAAGAAGGAAATGTGCATATGCTGATGTCTGTCTTTAAGGAAATCATGTACCACAAACCCATTCATTTTTGGCAGTTGTGGTAAAAAGTTAATTAAAAAAAACCCAACACCTTACCTCTGGAGTCTTAAATACCCACTTGGGCAAATTCTCAGGGAGTCTGTTTATTTATAACAACTATCTGTAACACTTTTATTTTGTTGCATCAGACAGTCAAATATGTTGAGGAACTTGTTCAAAAAGATTTAAAAAAAAAAAAAGATTAGCTTTTGAGACCTGCTTGGCATTAGAGACTAAATCCCTCTAAATCAACTTAAATTTGTTACGTGCAACACTCAAATTCATTATGCACAAAAGATTACAGAACAAAATCTTTTCCCCTTCTCCTTCCAGCTTATTTCACTTATTTGACAGTGCTCTGTAGATCATTAGTTTTAGCATTCTCTCCATGTAGGAAATGTTCACCTTTTGTTTGTGTGCATTTTCCCCACAGCCAACAAAAGCAGGTGTACTAAAAAAAAGAAAGGAATCCATGATAGTTTCTAAAAATAATCATGGACAATAGTACCAGGCTGCAGGGCATGGAAATACATGAAAACCAAGAAAGCAAAAAACATAATTAAAAATAAAATTGCCTAGATTCCAAGCTAACAGATCCCCTTTTAATGTCAGAAGCAAGGATTTCTTAATCTGATATCTTTTATTGGACCAACTACATAGCTGTGATAGACAAGCTTTTGAATATGACGTTCTTCATCTGTTGGTACATGCGAAAGCAGCACCTATAGTCTGTGCTTTTATTCAAAAACAAACAAACAAACAACTTACTTGTGCCTGAAAGCAGAGACAAAGGAGCAATACTGGCAGCTGTACTTGTCTTCCCGGGTAAACATGGCCAGAGCCAAGTGACTCCTCTCGTGAGATCGCAGACCCTGCATAGACATCAAAACCCGGTCACACTGGCTGCAGTGGTAGCCCCCAGGCCTGGTTTCATCTTCCAAGGATGCTCCAGATTCAGCTTCTGTAAATTCCATAATGCCAGGGTCTTTGACGCCCTCAAAACCCTCCAAAGTTGTGTTTGAAGAATCTTCAGCTTCCTGCTAAAAAACACATACCCCACCAAAGCCATCAATTCTCTCTCCCTTCTGCCCTCAAGTCTTCTCCATGTCTTAATTTTAAGGTCTAAGATTCCCTTCAACATCTAAAAGGACGTGTCTACATGGCCACCCTCCGGACTGTAAGTCCAGAGTTGACAAAATGAACCCAACCTACTCTCTGCCACTCAAACTTGGAGACTGGCTCTTAGGCAGAGTTGTACATGGTTTGAAGTGGCTTTGATTGAGCACCCCACACCTAGGCTCAGGTTGTGTTCCACAAGCAGCACTGAGGGGAGGCGGTGCTCAGATTTATGCTGACCCACTTGGGGCTGGTCCTGAGCCCTCTTCTCTGCCTAACTGTCAGTGTCCAGGTGTGCCTCAGTGGGAGTGAGTGGGCAGTGCTTATCATGTCAGTGGCAGACGTTGGAGAAGGAAGCATGTTAGGAAGGAAGCCAGATAAGACCTCACCCAGGAGTCCCACTGGCCATGTCTACACAAGACGCTTACTCGTTAAAGTAACGAGTAAAGTAGCTCGTTACTACTGCACAGTAGCGTTGCTGGGCACAACCTATGACCCAATGCTACTGCGCAGTAGTAGCGAGCTACTGCGCAGTAAATGTCACTAGGCAACCGTGCCAGGACACTACTGTGCAGTAACACCAGTTACTGCGCAGTCATTTAGTACTGTCATTTAGTAACAGCTGCGCAGTGGGCATCTCGTGTAGACACACCCACTACGTTCACAGTTCTAATGATCTCTCTACACAAGTCCCACAACACTAGTGACAATCCACAACAAGCAGCAGCACTCTAAAGGAGACCACGTCTCACAGCTGGCAGTGTTCAGACTGAACAAAGTCAGAACCAAGGCCAAACAACTAAAACAGAAACTGAACTGCCTACCTGCTAACCTCCGGACACAGATCCTTCAGAACAGGTTAACTGAATATTAATGCCATGATATGTTGCAAGCTATCATTGCTATCAACTACTATAATAACTGCTCTGTAGGCTAATATATACCTATGTTTCCCAAAACTCACAAGTGGACACTTTTCACTAACACTAATGTCACAAAAGAGAAACAGGCCCTCTCAGGAAATGATAACCCTCTTTGTAAAAAACCTGTTAGTTTTTATTCCTTTTCCTTAGTGTTATTCATTATGGCAAGTATTATGATGCAATCAAGAACTTAAAATCAACGTAATAACCTCAATTTCTATTTGTCCAAAAACTAAAAAGAGAAAATGTGGCAGTTTTCTTGCTTGTAAAAACAGCCATAGTTTGATAGGAGAAAAATTACTTGATCACTTATGTATCATCACATATGTGAAGGGGAGGACAGCAGAACAGTCTAAGCCCTCTCACGTGGAGCTGTTCAGACCCAGCTGGATTCAGTTTCCTCATGGCAGGTTAGTCAGCATTATGGAACAGAAATATGCTATAAGTAAAGTTCTGAGCACAGCGGTGGCATCTTTTTTCCTCAACATAATCCAAGTGCTCACTGCAGCAGCAGCAGCAGCAGCAGCAGGAAGAATGCATTGCCAGCTCCTGCTCCGTTACTGTGTACACACTCCGCTCTTGATATCCTGAAGAACCAGCTTGGGGAGTGGGGGACAGAGATCCTTCTTGGAGACCAGATTCTCTAGAAGTGGAAGTCCCGACGCCCACAGAAAAAAGTGCATTGACAATGAGCCACTTGAACCCAGCTAAGCAAGTGACTAATTAGTTATTTGAATGGGGATTTGCAGATGCAAGCCCTAGTAGACTGCAGTGGTAACTGTGAAAAAATGAGCAAAATACACATTTTCATGCACATTAGTACCTATGTGCTTCTGGCTTCCTCCACTAAAAATTTTGCTTTAAGTGTGTTAGAAAGTACCCTACAATAGTTGGACTACAGGGTCTTGCTCAGAGACCTAGGCATTCTGTTATCAGGAAAATAAACTCATTTGTGGTAGAGAAATCAGACATGTTCTGGAAAATAGTCTTCATGCCCTTGAATCAAGAATGGAAGAAAGTTAAAACTAGTATCTTAAAATAAGCCAGACATACTACAGAAAGCTGAAGCATTAGAGATAAATCATGTGCTTAACCTTACCTGTTCCAAAACCCTTTGAGTTCAATGAGAGCTTGCCACAGACTTCATTGGTCTTTGGACCAGAACTTATAGCCTCAAACGACAACGTAGCAGACAGATCTCAGACTGCTTACCTTTACTGTAGCTGACACTGAAGAGACGTTCCCGTACTGAACATGCTTGCGAAGATGATTACAGATGGCTCGAAGGGTCGGATGAACCTCCACACAAAATTTACATTTATATCCAACAACTTTCCTCTCCTTAAGTTTTGACATATCTTCCAAGTGACCAAAAGTCTGTTGGAACACAAGTATAAAATCAATTCATGCGCTGAAATGTGCTTCCACATTTTTAAGTTATCATGAATAGATTCAGACAAGCACAAATCTCAAAATGAAATTAGGAAAGACAAGAAAAAAAATCCACTATCTGGGCACTTTAAAGGGCAAAGGGCTGATCTTGCAAAGCAACCTTAGAGACTTAAACACATCTCCATTAAAATTTAAATGGATGTGATCTTAAGTCCCAAAGGTCGCTTTCCAAAATTTCAACCCAAGTTTTCACTTGGCCTCCACTAATGCCTGTAAAATCTATTGGTAAAAAAATATTTTCTTGCCTTGTTTTCATGCTCAGGAACCCTGTGTATTTGGATGGTAACAGGCCGTAACTCAGGTTTCAATCCTGACAGGCCAAATTTTGCCCTTAGGTGACACCAGGGTAAACTGTCAATAACTCTTTCAAAAGCAGAGTTATTCCAGATTGACAACAGTGGTACACAACAGAATTTTTTCTGTATTCCACATGGAGACTGATCCAAAGTCTGAAGTCCTTGGAAGACACCTACTGATATCAATGAACTTTGAATCAGACCCAAGACAAGATATGTTATTACCATAGAAGTGTCAATCAATCAATCAATCACATGCCTTCCTGAAGAAAAAAAGATTTGCGTGTTATTTCAAAAGAATGACCCCTGGAGGTGGGAACCATGGGGCAGACGACACATTTACTGAAAAAAACTAAGTTAAAGTGCACAGTAACTTTTCAAGAAAAAGCTACATAATTGTTGAGGGTGAGGACAAGATGTTGGGAATCCTCTAGGGAACTCTAGGAAGAGGTGGAAAATGAAAGGAGATGATAGTATCAAACTAGAATATTTAAATTGACTTACAGAGCTCATTGGCACAAGTCACTAGTTAGTCTGTTTTTTGGCTGCCAAAGACCACGCATGTAAGCACTAGTTATACGCAGCCTACTGAGAACAGTGGGGGCCTGGGAAGGGTGGGGGGAGTAGGGGAGGGGGGAGGAAAGATAATGAACACACATTCCCTTACCCTCTCTTGTTTGAAATCTGCGAAAGCACCATCTGCATATTTCTGCTTGCTCAAAAGCTGTTTCCTCCTTTCCTGACGTTTGGCACGCTTCTGGAATTCCTCATTGTGACTATTCAAGTGTGAGGTCAGATCTGCCATGCTATGCAATTTACTATCACAGTGCTTGCACTGGTAGAGAGAATTCTGAGAGCGGGTGCCACTTCCCAGGATGGTAAAGTCTCTCTTAAGATCCTTGCTGTGGTGGTCAGTGTAATGCATGCACAGCAGCTCTGCTGTGCTGAAAGACAGTTTGAAACATTTAATGCATCTGAAGGGAAGCCACTCTATTTCCTGAGCCTCGTTCTCCACCTCAGGCTTTTCAAAGTCATTTCTCTCCTCTAGCGGGGCTGGCTTTTCATGCTCATCAGCATACACAGCAGTGAAGTAACCCCCTAGCTTGCTTGCATGCTGTTTTTTAGGGAAAACACCAGGGTGACGCTTCATGTAGTGGGAGACGATACCTTTTTTGCTAAAAGATTGGAAGGAGCAAAGCGAGCACTTCTTCTTCTCCACAGCCCTCCTCAGCTCCTCACTTAATTGAGGAGCATCATCTTTGGGAGGAGATGGAATAATTACTTTGTTGGGCTTGTCACTAATTGTCCTGGAGGCTGCTAAGCAATGGGTATAGTAAGCATCAATGTCATGCCGTTTCTGGTAGTGTGCTGCAAGCCCTTTGCGGATGGGATTGGTGTAGGAACACAAAGCACATTTGAAGAGATTGTTTTTGCCTTCTGGCTGTGCCCGGACATTGTTGTGTTTGATGCGGTAGTGTCTAGCTATCCCTTTCCTGGTGGAGCAGAAATACTTGCAGAGCTGGCATCGGAACACCGTATGAGACACTAAATGAGAACTGGAAAAATGAGGAGCCGGCACTGTGATCTCTCCAATGTCCTCAGGAGCAATTTCTGGAGAAGCCTTGATTTCAGGAGTAATCTCTGGCTCCAGAGAGGCAGACACCTTTGGTGGTGACTGCGCAAACACATCAAATTCGGGTTGATTGTGGTACTTTTCATAGTGAATTTTAAGTTTCTCCAAAGTGCCATGGGTATAAGGGCATAATTTGCACCTGTAAGCGCCATAACCTTGTTTGAAAATCCTACTCGTTTCCTCCACATCATTCTGAGCTATGTCATTAGACTGTTCTACATCATGTACAAAATCTTCAGCGGTGACCTTTACTGACGGATGCCGTTTCTGGTAGTGTGTAAGGACACCATGAATGCGCGTGTTAATATATGGACAATGCCTGCACTTATACACAGCCCCTGGGTTAATATCTATGTCCTGTGCAAAATCTGCAGCTTTCACTTTCATTCCAGGATGCTTTTTGCCATAATGTGTCAAAAGTCCATGTAGGTTATTATATTCAGATTGGCATACTGTGCACTGATACGGCGTGGAAGAGATTGCAGGGTTTGCAGAGGCCAGCTGGACTGTTTTTTCCTGGGAAAGACCCGAGTCCTCAGTGCACTCCGCATCCTGCTCCATCTGTGATGCTGTTATCTGGTCTTCAGAATTAATCCTGGCCCCGAGTTCATCAGGCTGCATGCCAGCTTTCTCAGCAGCATCTTTCTCCTTTATGATATCCAACAGCACAGACTCATCACCATTCATGGCCCAAGGATGAAAAGCCTGGTAGTGATTAGTAATATCCCAAATGGAAGATGCTTCAAAAACACAGTCACGGCATTTATAGGTTTTTGTCTCTGATGGCAGCACTAGAGCTGGAGGGGAAGGATCTGGACCTGCCCAGAGTTTAGTTGCCATGTATGTGTAGTCAACATAATGCTCAGGATGCCTCCTTTGGTAATGCACAAGCAAACCACTGGGCTCAGTATGCGAATAAATACACCATTCACAGTGATAACCAGCTTCTATTAAGCCATCCAGAAATGCCCATCGCAAAATGGATGTGACAGTGGCCTTCAGGGTTGGATGGTCTTTTTTTATATGCTTTCTCAAGGCATAAAAATAAGGGGATGTATAGGAGCACTGCCTGCATTTGAGAGCTCGTAGCTTAGCCTTGTCCCGGTCAGTACTGGAAGTGGGAGCAGGCAGGCTGCTGGTCAGTTTTTTCTGGCCACGGTCACAGAGGCTTCTAATAGTGGCTGTGTGCTGTCTAATCACATCTGCATTAGCTTTGAAGTCACGATGCTTCTTTTGATAATGAATGAGCACGCCCTTAACGGTCCGGTTTCCATAATCACAGTGCTGGCAAAAGAACATTTCATTCTCGGGGGGAGTCACAGCACTCTCAGAGCTGCCCCTATTCAGCTGTTGCATAGACATTGGTGGTCTCTGAATACCAGGTGGCATCTCACCAGCCCTCATCATTGCTGCAGTAGGGGGTGCCTGCCTAATATATTTTGCAGTGACCTTTATTTCTGGATGCCTTTTCTGGTAGTGGACAAGCACTCCCACAACTGAGCGGTTGCTGTATGAACAGTGTTTGCAGTAGTAGAGTTCAGTGGCAAGGTCTGGTGGTGGCGGTGGGGGAGGTGGAGGTTGAGAAGCCAGGCTGGACAGTTTTGGAGACACAGAGGTTCCCATCTCAAACGACATTTGAGCCAGGGCAGAGCCCCGGTCAACAGACACCATGCGCATGGTCTTCTGAATCCTGAAGTATGATGCCTTTTCTTCAGGGTGTTTTTTCTGGTAATGAACCAGAACTGAATGCATGTTAGGGCTTGCAAATGAACATACATCACAGTCATAAACTACAACAGTATTTACTGAAGGCTCCTTCTGATTTTCACTTTCTGGACTAAAACTTTTGGTAGCATTTTTGTTAAAAGTACTAGGCATGCTAGCTGCACGGGCCACAGGGGTTGATGTTGCCATGGTTTTGGGAGCAGAATTCAAGATCTCTCTCAGTGTTTGCGATTCTGTATTTACCCCCTCTTGCTGCTCAACTACATAACTTGAGAAGATCATTGCATTATTAATTTTAACTGTTGGGTGCATTCTTTGGTAATGGGGCATCAGGCTTCTCACATTCGGGCTAGTGTAAGAGCAGAAGCGACAGCGATAGATCAGGTCAGAATGATCGAAGTTGAGTACATTCATAGCTTCAGGGTGATGCTCACCATAATGCTGCTGTAGGTCTTCGAAGTTTGTATAGTCAATGTAACATTCAAGGCATCTGTACACTGCACTGTGATCATTAGGATCCAAAATATATCTAAAGCTGAATTTAATGTACGGGTGCATCCGCTGGTAGTGGGTGCTAACACTCCTGGCAGATTTGTTACTGAAATCACAGTGTTTGCAATAATAAAGCCTCCCAGAGTCATTAAACTCTGCATTTTCATTGTTTTGTTCAGATCCATATAGACTTGACTGGCTACCCAGAACAGAAGCATTAGGGCCCTGCTGATCTTTCAAGCCGACAGAAGAGTAATAATCTTCCTCATCCTCTGATAATGTGAGCTCAATTTCTGCCCCATTGGTGGAATTATAATCATGCTGCATGTTTCTGAAGTTAGCCTCCTTCTGAGAATCATTGGCATCTCTTCCCCACATTTGCTGGGGTGCATATGAATTGGATACCTCCATCATTGGCTCTGCTTGTTCTTCTTCCCTGTCCAATTCTACCTCTATCTCCACTTCATTGTCTTCTTCCTCCTCTTCATCATCCTCTACATTAATCACAGCATCTTCTTGCTGTTTGTTTTGGTTGATTTTGCTCTGCAAGTTGCTTGCTATTTCATCAATTCTAGTTCTCTTCTTCACTGGTGATAGATCTAAGGGGAAGTCATTTGACACCTTTCGAGGGGCCTTAGCCACAAAGTTATTTTTAGATGACAAACCCAGAATGGAGGTCTGGCTTTTCTTCACAGTGCTGGAAGAGGTGTGAGCATCCCCCTCACTCTCTTGTGGTGCGTTGGATGACGGTCCATCATATTTTGGCAGGTTGTCACAAAATGAATGCTTGTGTTGCTGATGAACTCTGAGGCCTTTCAAAGTAGTCGTGGAATAGTTGCACATGGTACATTTGTAGGGGTGCTGTGAATGGGGTTGTGGTGACTGCTGTTGCTGCTGCTGCTGTTGTTGCTGCTGCTGTTGCTGCACAGGTTCCATTATGCCTCCTGACTTCCTGCCATTTATATTTCCACTGTCATAAGACACAGTGCTCTCATTCAGAGAGGAAGCTATGCTTTCACTTTGAGAATTCACAGCATCCCAGTCTGATGTTGTACCTGTGTGACACTGTTTATGAGCTCCAAGTTTTAATGAACTTTTACAAGTGAAAGGACATTCATCACATTTGTATACAGCAGTCTTCCCAGACAGGTGGATGTTTTCAATATGGCGGGAAATACTACGGCGGTGCATGGTGAGGAAAGGGCAAAAAGGACACTGGAACCTGTTCATGTATCTTCTAAAGGGAATCCCCTTGGTTTCTAATAATTTGTTGCCATCAGATCCCATCAGTTGCTCTGCAGACATTCCTGAGGTCTGGTGATCTAAGGCATTCAAGCCATTCTCACTGTCCATTTCATTTAGCTCTTCATCTGAGCTAGAGTCATTTAGCATACTATTCGTTTCCAGGTCAGCAGAAGAATTTGTCATGTCAGCAATGCCATAGCGGGATCTGTCGGACAAATTAACCATGCCAGAGTTATGAGGTGACTTAGGCTTCATTTGAGGATAAGACACAGAAGAAAACTTGGAGGATGTAGAAGAATTGGATCTGATAAGGGAATTGCTCATAGAGCTTCTGAAGTTTGAAACATTAGCATTTGACATCTCACGTCCTGCAGCATTCATAGAGATGTAGTTCGAGTTTGGGGAGGGGTTCTGTGCATTCTTATTCTGCATATCAGGCAGACTAGTGCCATCCTGCTGCTGCCGCAGGCTCGACAATATTTTCACCATGCTCCGATGTTTCTTCATCATATGATCACACCAGCGCTCCCTTCGAGGCGTCTGATAGCTACACCATTCGCAGCAGAAGTTGCCCCTGGATTTTGTCAAGGGCTTGACCATGGACTCCAAAATGCTACGCTCTACCACCTCAGCAGGCAACTCCTTGCAGGGCTCCTGCACTGGCATAGAGGCAGACCCAGATTCAGATATAGCAGATGCAGCAGCAGGAGGAGTTGAGCTCTCCTTCAGGTTGTTTTTGTGATACATTTTCTGGTGTTTAATAATCCTTGCTCGTCTTGGTGATTTGTAAGTGCAGAACTGGCAAGAGAAAACTTTGCCAAACCCCTCGTGCATCATGATGTTGTAATTTAATGATCCGGCAGCAGGCAGCCCCACCGAGCTCCCTCCAGCTTGTGCTCCATGGACCTTTCGGGTATGCTCTATGAGCAGGTTTTTGGATCTGAAGTATCGCACACAGAATTTGCACTGGAAAAATTTGTTTGTTGGTTTAGGATTTGGGGCCATGTGCTGACCATAAAAACTCTGGCTATGGCTATAATAACTTCCAGTCCCCATTTGAGTTGCTGCATTTTGCCCTAAGGGAAAGGTGGGGGGAAAAAACAAAAATAAAAAACACGCACAATTGTTTTCTTCACCCATCACACTGACATCATAATACTCAAGAACAGCCACGTCCATGAAAGGCATTGGGAATATCAGGATTGTAGAGCATGCAATACTACACTGGACATTCTTATTTATGACATGCTTGTGCACCCAATATAGGTCATAGGCAAACAATATATATCACCTGGAAAAATGTTACTTCCAAATTAAGTTTCTTTGAACAAAAATGCAGTAAGTTTTAAAAAGGAAAGCTTCTTCAAACTCAACATTAAAACAAAAAATTATAGAAACACTGGAATGAAGAAGAGCAGGGAGATAAATCTACCCCCTATTTTAGTGATCACATAAAGTGGCAAGCAGAACTAGTAGCTAGGCAAAATTCACTTCACTATCATGGCAATAAAGATAAAGGATTTTTTTTTTTAATTGTATTAAAATTGACCATTAAAATATGCAGAAACCAGCATGGAGGAGAGGTTTAGGTTGACATTTACCTGCTATTTCATCTGCAATTGCAAATTCATCCTTTACAGAAGAAAATTCAACCTCAGTCTGGTTGCTAGCATTCATGGAGCCAGACCTTGGCTGGCTAGGGCTTTCCTCAGAAACATCCGTGGGCTGCAAAAAAGCAGTGTGAACATCCTGAATGTGGGCTTTCAGGTCTTCATAGGAGGGAGCTCGAAAATCGCAGCCGTCACACTGCAGCACCTCCATGGTTCTGGGTTGATCTTTCACATTAGAGAATTCTGAAAGAAAAGAATAGGAAAAACCCTATTTTAGAGAGACTCTTCAATGAACTGACTATATAGAAAACCAAGCCTATTCCCACATGGTTCAGCAAGCTCCAAAAATGCTATAGTTACTGCAAATGACAACTCAAACTTTGCTCAATACTTTGAGGCACATCAAGGCATTCAAATTCACAGAAAGTCCTACCTAAATAGCACACAAGTTGCTGATCTCAACTCTACAAACATTGAAGCCTTCTGACAAATGTATATTGATTCAGTGGACCTTGACCTCTTGGCTTTTTCCTTACTCAGGTTCTTCTCATATGGGTTTGTTGTTCCTCTGGCAGCCTGTCTCACACAAAGACTCAGGGAAGCATATGCTGGAATTTCCAGCTGTGAATGCACTGAAATTTGCAAGCAGGGGGGAAAAAAAAAAAAAGGGTATTTCTGTCTCTCTTCATCCAGCACTAACCTTTCTGAAGGTTAGTGATTGCCTTACCACCTGAAACAGAAAACCTCCAAAAACCTTTGCATTTATTTTAAACCTTCTGTCAACACTGACTTCAGTGGGGAAAACAGACATTGTGGCAAGGTGATGTCTGGATACATAGATTTTTGGACATTTACTTAACAATTCCAGAAAGCTCCAAGATTATGTCCATTATTGGTTAGAATTCCTATGATTATACCCATGGTTTATAGCCTCCTTAAAGGAACATGTCTTTCAAGGAATAGGAATAGAGGAGACAAAAAAAAAATACAGAAACGGGCCATTTTCTGCTGCTTTTGATAGAAACATTGTAACAGTATTCAAGGATTAAAAAGGCCCCTCCCTAAAACTTTGACTTGTTACCTTCATAAACCTACCTAGTTTGATATACCAAGTAGTAAACTGAGCTTGGTAACATGACACATTATTGTTCAATGCATGATTAGTTAATGCAGCATCACATAATTCTGGGGAGGAATTTATCACTAGGCTCAAAGTTTTTGGGCGCTGGTGTAGAACAAGGAACAGGAACTCAGAAAAAAGAAAAAAGGTAGAGGCCCACCTATTCCATATGCTTCTTGGGTACAGTAGCAACTTACTATCTTAATGAACCAATTACTAGGCCAATTACTATAACATTATAGACCAATTACTATAACTAGACCAATTACTATAACATTTCCCACTTCCTTCTCTGGGCCAAGTTAATCTAGGAGTTGCAGAAGTCTGAGAAAGGGAATGGCAGCCAAAAATACTTTACAAATTTCCTTTATTTGTGGAATATAAAAGTCCTCCTACAGCCAGATCCAAGTCCAATAATATTGTGTCAACGAAACACAAGGGTGTGTGGCATCAGGGTTCTGCAGAAAAGAATGTTCCTTCTGATAGCCTGCTAAAATAAACTTCTGGCAAGGCAAATTCTGGCCAGGCTGAGCACACAGACACTCCAGATATTTACCTAGTCTACTTTGCACTGCTGCAATTTGTCCTTTCTCTCTCCTTCCCCCCCTCTCCCGCCCAAAGAAAGAAACTGAACACTGCACCAGCTTCTTTGCAGCTAACAAAGTTACAATAATCGAGATACTCAAGCTTTTATGTGCAAGCACCAGGCCAAATTGTGTGGAAGAGGTTGCTATCTGCTCTGGATCAAATTACAGCAGTGAGTGAAGCCCCACCCCACGTCTCCTTTAGCACAGTCCATTAGACCTGAAAACAAATTTTTCCATGGAGCAGACGACTCCTGCATTTAGAGCACTTCACAAAAAGCAGATCATCCAGTTTTCACTACCCATCCCCCAAGCTTAGTCCTTTCATCTCAGCCAAACAAGCCACAGCTCTGCTGAATGTGTTTATCACACTTTCAAGAGATATGAGCTCCTGCGTCACTGAAGCTTTAAGACTCACTAAGCTGCCCTAGTCCTCTGAGCTTTAGGAGCAGCCATTTTAGCTCAGACAACTCATGCACTCAGAGGCTCAGAGCTTCTAGCCTGCTCACAACATGGCCTCACTTATCTCAGCTTCATCTGAAGCACACAAGATTTTTTTTTATTTTTTTTTTTTGCTGGGTTGAGGCTAGAAAAAAAAAAAATCAGCATTCTGAAAGCAATACTCTCCCTTTTTGTGTGATTTACCTTTTCCAACAAAGGAGTGGCTGTTCTCATGTGCTGTCACACTAGCACCCCCCTCCTCCAAACAGATCATTTGCAAAGATCTCTGAAGGTCCTTTTATCCATGAATGATAAATGTGTTGATTAGTTCCAGCAACACAGAATTAGGGAACCAAGACACTTGTCCAAACTGTCCTACAGGCTGAAGCCACACAGTGTAAGCTCTTAAGTGGGAGCAGGGGGAGATGGGGGGCAGGATCCTCCAGAAAGCCTCAGCCTCCTGGGAGTTGTCCTTCTCTGCACAGAAGACACAGACCATCTGACTCTGCTTGCCAGATTCCAAAGTCTAATGACCTTTGTTAATCACCAGCCAGCCTGTCTGCCTCAGCAAATCCTGCCAAGAGACACACCCTTCAACACAAAGGCTGTAGCTATTCCTTTTAAAAGAGGTTCTCTGAAAGCTCCATTGTGCAGAAGAGAGGGAAAAAACAAGAAACAAAAAACCTCTCTTCCCTTCAAACTTCAGTGCCTTTAGAAACACCACCAGAAAAATCTTTCCACTGTGCGCCTTTTGGAAACTGTTAGACCCGGTCACTAAATAAAAACCAAAGGCAAGACAAATTGAGGTTCTGACCAGGATATGCCTAACAGCCTCAGTATTGCACAATAACAGCAAAAATTGTATGCATGGTGACAATTCTTTCGGATGTCGACACTATTTGAAGTTATCCTCAAAGATGCTGGCTGTTGTTTGGACAATCTCAAACCTAGTTTCCTTCAACTATAAAGCGTAGTGAAAAAAAAAGGGGGGGGGGAGAAATGAGCACAGTAAAAAACTTCTGATTTTTTTTTAATGGTGAAAGAGCACTTTTAATGGGTTCTAGCTTTTCTAGCTAAAATGTCAGTACCACAAAAGCAGCACTGAGTCATAGAAGAAGCTAATCTCACTGCAGTAGAGGAACTACAGCTGAATGGCCTTCAACTTGAAGTTTTCACCAAGCGTGATTGAAATCAGGATGAATCTTATTTTTTGAGAAATTTTGTCTCACTATTCACACTTTTCACTTTCAAATGCAGGTGTTCCACAAAGCACAGAAACTGCTGGTTTGGTCAAAGCTATCAAAAGAAACTGAAACATGATGCGTGTCGTATGTGTGTGCACGTGTGTGTGCGCATGTGCAAGCGTCATGGAACTAAGAGTGACCCATCTATTAGCCAACTAAGAGCATATTTTCAGTGCAGATGTTAATACTCTGTCAAGACATGCACCAAATAAAGACAGACAAAGAGCAAAGTTTGTACTCTTCTCCATGAGGATCAAGCAGAAATAGCCACACTGTCCATTGGTAGAAACAGCACCAGTGCTTCTCCATTCCATTTTTCATAAAACCCACAATCTACTATCCAAATGTTATGGATAGCAGGATTTGAGAGGGAGGTAGATAAAAGGGTAGAGGGAGTGGATTATGTATAGAAGGAAAGGGAGTTAACCAAATCAGCAAATCAAAAGCAGAACAAGAAGTTGCAGGGGACCCCAAAAAAATAACCATGAAATGAATCCATAAATCAGCAAGTCTAAAATACTCACACTGTATCCCTTGAGACCACACTGACTATAGATAATCTAACTACTAAAATAACCATGCTCATATCAAGTATGTAGATGGTTTAAAAAAGCATAAAGTGAAATACAATATGCACCACTATCTAGGTTTGCTCAGTCTATGTAGAATACAAGATTTTCTTAAATGTTATGGTTCCAACATTTTGTAGAGAAAAGGCATTCTGATTCTCCAACTGGGGAAGGAAAAAGAAGAACTTGAATAAACATTTCTCCTCAAGTTCTTGCAGTTTTAAAATTTCAGCCTGAAGTCTCACACACTGCCTTTCTTTGAAATACCCATAAAATGGCTAAAATACCAAGAATCAATGTTTTAGGCTTCAATTTTTTTTTTTTTAATGTGAGACAAAATACAAGACAGGAGATTAGTCTAAGACACTAGATGTGGCAACAACTGTAAAGGTATGGTGCAAATAGTTTGCTTTTAGATCCAATGTTGATATTGCAAATTACAAGATTATTTGTGAAGCCCAAAGCATTGACCTCAAAATTGAGCTTCTATGGTTGACTACCCATCCGTGATGTTTTGAGATGGAGTCAGCAGTGCTTCTAGAAGTTAAGAATATGCACACGAACAACCACAACTGAAAAGGTCATGCAGACCACACACTATGTGAACTTCCAGTTCAATTTTAGTATCACCACCTTTTAAAACGAATGCTCCAATTCAAGTCTCCCAACATTCAGAAGATCAGAAGCTTCTTTAGACACAGAAGAAGAAGGCACACTCAGCTTTCTTTTTGTTCAGTTCAAGATTTATTACTGTTGGGGTGAATCTGATACTAAGCTACACTAGTGTAGTATGGTTTTTACTGGAGAAAATACTGCTAAATCTCTTTCTACTTGACAAAATTCTTTTGAAGACTTGCTGTGCATGGCCAAAGTAGATCAACATAAAATGTGTGTGTGTGGATTAGACTCATGCATTTCAGTGAATTTATCCTTTAACAAAATGCAGGAAGCTTCAATATTGATCCACTTGATTTTCTGCTGAAGATTACCAGAAATAAACATTACAACAATGTAATTCACCAGCAACTAATTATAGACCTTACAAAATCTTTAAGTAGAAGAACCTGAAATCCCACAACTAATACTGCGGGGCATGTGTTTTCTCCTGCCACAGAAATCTAGAGTTTACACAGCATGAGACAAGAACCTTCTCCAATTATAGATTGGATTACTAGTGAAACACTTTGTTTAGGTTCATGCACATGCAGTTTCTGTTCCAACTTGCTGAGGGTTTTTTAATGCATCTTTTCAGTTCAAGACACCAAAAATAAGAGACATGCTGAAT